TAGGATATACACTTCATTCAGCCTCTTTGATAGTCCCTGAGTTCCAAAAGGCAGATTCAAATAGTTGCTGATCAGGGAAGGGACGGGATACAAAAACAGGGGAGGAACAGTCAAGTGAGTTTGAGTAAACTCTGGCAGTTGGTGATGGACAGGGAGGCCTGGCATGCTGCAGTCCATGGGGTCTGAAAGACTGAACTGAACTGAACAGGCAAGTGGTAGTACAGCCTTAGGGCAGGGTCCCGTTTCCTACTCAAGGAATATGCATAACAATACCTTTGAGTTCTTTGGCAGAACTGGAGCCCCACCCAGGTGGAGGACGGTAACTTCAGGCTGAGCACAGGATTCCTGGAGCACCGCCCTCTTGCCTCTCACCAACCAATCAGAACAAAGTCACACACCCTGCCACCCTCACCCCAAATTGTGCCTTCCTTCCCTGGGCCCTGTTTGGCCCCTGTCTATTTCATGGTTTCAGGCTAACTGGCTGTTATTAGAAGGGTGAATGCTGGTTTCAGATCCAGCCCAATTGGTAAAGAATCTGTCTGTAATGTGGGAGATTGATCCCTGGGTTGGGAAGGTCCCCCGGAGAAGGGAAAGGCTACCCACTCCAGTATTCTGGTCTAGAGAATTCTGGTCGCAAAGAGTTGGATGTGACAAAGTGACTTTCACTTGCTTTTCTTTCTTTCATATCTAGATTTAAATTAGGTAGAGAGAGACTTCTGCTCTGCTAGGCAGGACTATGCCCATGCACAGCAGCAAGAAATTACAGAAGAAAGAGACCTCCATCCCAATCCCCAAAAAGTATGTTGAGTATGAAGTCTCCCAGGGGGTTAGGTGAAACACACTGAAGGACTGCCCGCCATAGCCAGGCACCATAGTAACCATTTGCATGAGTTATTTTACAACAGGAGATCTTGCTAAAGAACACGGAACTAAAAAGCCACCACCAACTGGAAGAGTTTGGGAAAGGTCAAAAGAAGACCGCGTGTCCTACCACCTCCCAAAATCCTTCTCGATGGCATTCATCTTGGCTGGGCAGTGTCTGTGCCATGAGGAAGGACGCTGAGTCAAAACAAAGACTTGGCCAAAGACAACCCAGAAACTAATCCCATCAACATAAAACCTGAGGCTGTGAGCCAAGTGGCAAAACAGTTCTCCTGGGTTCCCCTATCCTGCTGATCTCCACCTGGGCACCCCTTCCCAATAAAGTCTCTTGCTTTGTCAGCATGTGTGTCTCCTCAGACAATTCATTTCCAAATATTAGACAAGAGCCCACTATTGGGTACTGGAAGGGGTCCCTCTTCCTGCAACAAAAGTTTAAAATGAGGGTGCCATGTGCTCACTCGTGTCCAATCCTTTGCGACCTCATGGACTGTAGCCCACCAAGTTCCTCTGTCCATGGAATCTTCCAGGCAAGAATACTGGGGTATGTTGCATTTCTTCCTCCAGGGGATCTTCCCAACCCAGGGATTGAACTCGAGTCTCTGGTGTCCCTTGCATTGCAGGCAGATTCTTTACCCATTAAGCCATCCAGAAAGCCCAGACTTGAGCATATGCCATTTCATTTTTTTCCCCAGTATATTTTTGTGATAGATTCTTAGAATGGGATTCCTGAATCAAGAGGTACATGCATATATTTAACTATACTCATTAATCAACAACTCCTCTCTTTTTCCTCCCCATAGCCCATGGTAACCACAGGGATATAAAGTTTTTCAAGAACCACAAAACAGAAACCTCAAACTGATGATAAAGATAAAGATAAAGGTATCTTTATCCTTATATCTGTGGCTTTGAGTTTCCTGAATGATATCAAGATAACTTTTCAATAGACAAGTTTTCTTGAATCGAAGTTTATTAATCTTGTTTTGTTTTAATTTTTTCTCTGAATCACAAAAGTAGTAGCTCTTATAGAAATTTGTAAAACAAAGATACAAATATAAAAGTAAGAATCATGCAATTCCAGCAGCAGAAGATTACCAGTAACCATTTTGATATGTTTCATTCATTCGTCCAAATTTTCTTTTTCATTCTTCTGTTTGTTCCAGAGAGAGCGCCATATAAGCTCATGTAGTAGGTATGTGCATACAGATATATTTATATATGAGGCTTCTCCGATGGCTCAGCAGTAAAGAATCAGCCTGCAATGGAGGAGCCTCAGGAGACATGGGTTCGACCCCTGAATCAGGAAGATCCCCTAGAGGATAGGATGGCAATCCACTCCAGTATTCTCGCCTGGAAAACCCCCATGGACAGAGGTGTCTGGCAGGCTACAGTCCTTGGGGTCGCACTGAATCAGACACAACTGAAGCAATTTAGCAAACACACGCACACTTTTCTACATGGCTCTCTGTCTGTTGTGTGATCTGTAATGATAAAGATAGGATTACACTGCAAATGCCTGCTTTTTAAAGTATTTTAAAATGGCCATCAAATATTTTTCAAAAACACTCTCTATTAGAATGAACATGTATGAAAATTTCATAATGTTTTAATTGCTGTATATATACACTGTTTCTAGATTTTTATTATTAAGGATACATTTTGTGTATAAATCTTATCTGAGAAGTCTATTTTCTTAGTGTTATTACTAGAAATGGGTTTCTGGGTCAAAGGATGTACTCGTCTGTATCAGGATTCACTCTTCTATTATTTGTGGTCTCACGAGTTGGACCATGTACACAGATTCACAAACTCCCCTGTATGTATAAAGTTATTTTATCTTCTGCAGTCAAATTCTCTTTCCCTGAGCTATACCCCCTATTTTATCTTCTAATCATAGAAGAGCACTCTCTTATATCACCTAAAGAAATCATTTTATTCACCAAACATTTGTAGCANCTAACACCACAGTTTAAAAGCATCAATTCTTCAGTGCTCAGTTTTCTTTATAGTCCAGCTCTCACATCCATACATGACTACTGGAACAACCATAGCTTTGACTAGATGGACCTTTGCTGGCAAAGTAATGTCTCTGCTTTTTAATATGCTGTCTAGGTTGGTCATAGCTTTTCTTCCAAGGAGCAAGCATCTTTTAATTTAAGTTACTTTAAATATGTTAATTAAGGAGAGAGTAGGTCTTTAGTATATTTGGTGATGGGACTTCTCCTGTAGCTCAGCTAGTAAAGAATCCGCCTGCAATGGGGGGTTCGATCCCTGGGTTGGGAAGATCCCTCGGAGAAGGGAAAGACTACTACACTCCAGTATTCTGACCCAGAGAATTCCATGGACTATATAGTCCATGGGGTCACAAAGAGTCAGACTGGACTGAGTGATGTTCACTCACTCACATATTTGGTGATGGTCTCGATACTCCAGTTATTTAATATAACTGGAAACAAACTGTTCTGCAAAATGAGCTTTGCAGATAATGAGGATAACCAGTTAAAGCAGTCGAGTCTGAAGTGCAAAAGTTCCAATATTGAAAGCAGATTCCCTAATTTCTTAATTATAATGGATCTAGCACAGATGGTAAAGAACCTGCCTGCAATGCAGGAGACCTGGGTTTGATTCCTGGGTGGGGAAGATCCCTGGAGGAGGAAATGGCAATCCACCCCAGTACTCTTGCTTGGGAGGTCCCATCGAGAGAGGAGCCTGTCGAGCTACAATCCATACGATAGGAAAGAGTTGGACACAACTGAGCGACTAACACTTCTAACAGTGTAAATGAGTTTTCCTCCATGCATATTGATTGTGAAGCTCCTTGAAAGCAGAAGTCTTTCTCCCTAGATTTATGTGGGATATTTCATCCCCCATTGCCCATGAAGACCTTCAGAAGAAAGAAAACGTTTTTTATCCCATGTTTTCGAGAGTCTGAAACCCATAATCTGTTTGGACAAGCCTTAACTGGATACCTGTTTTATGCCAGGCAGGCCAGTGCTGGGTGTTCAAGAGGAGAGACTTCGGTTTTGGTTTGAGAAGCTCACTCCTCAAAGCAAGGGGAGAGTGACCTCAGAGTATGGCAGGTGGATGCTGGGAGCCTCAGGTTTTCCTCCAAGGAGGCAGACAGGGGTTTGGCACCATGTAGAAATAAATGTGAACTGGGGCTCTCCAACTTCTTGGTTCTTAGCTTCTCTGAGCTTCACTTTCTTCTTGTGAAAATGAGAACATCAGGGGTCTGAGGCACAGTCGTGCACCCGACGCCCTTAGTACACTTAGCAGGTGACATGCAAGGTCACCTTAGTTGCCACTATTTTTCCGAGGGCTTGGGGAGGAGTTCGGCTCTCAGAACCAGTCATGACTAATTGGGTAGGGCTATCACCGGGAACAAAGGGGAACAGATGCGTGTCATCTATTTTCGACACGGAGCACCTACGTGTACCCTTGGAGGACTCAATGCCTCCACCAGATGAAGAGCCTGAGGCTGGGAGGGAGCGCGGGTGGGGGGCTTGCTGAGACGCAGCTGCAGCCGGGCTCCCCTTTCCCACCGCTGTTGCTCGGGTTTTTTTGTTGTTGTTTTTTTTTTTTTTTTTTTACCAGAAGTCACTCTGTGACCTTGAGCAAGTCTCGGCTCCCCTCTGTTCCCGACTGGCGGTGGGCAGTGGATTGCAGGAACAAGGAACAAGGACAGGGAAGCCAAGCTTTAGGGACATCTAAAGTTTTTAAGATCCTTCCAGTCCCTCCCCTTCCCCTCCGCCTCCTCCCGTCGGACGCCCAGGTGAGCTCCGGGAGGGGAGAGGCTCGCAGGTAAAGATAACAGCAACCGAGCACCTAGGGACTCCGCGACCCGACGCGCGCTAAACGCCTCTCCGAAATTCTCCGCTAAACCAGGGCCGGATTCTCCCTGTGGGCCGGGCGCGCATCCAGATGACCAAGACGCAGAGGTCGCCAGCCTGCAGGCGCCTCCCGCAGCCCCGAGCCGCCCCTGCGGCTCCGCCCGGGCGCTCCCAAGAGGGAGGCCGGGGGCGGGGCCGGGCGGGGCGTTGGGAGGGGGTTCGGACCCGGCCGGGTGACTACACTGGCCCGCCCGCCCGCTCCACACTTGCCTCCAGCCGACGGGTCCGATGGCTCCGCTGCCTTTGTCCCCGACGGTACGGCTGTTGCTGCTCCTTCTCTTGGGATCTGGACCCGGGCTCAGAGCAGGTGAGTGAAGGGACGAGCCCCCATCCGAGGACCCCGGGCTTCCTGGGACTCCTTCAGTCCTCCCCGGGATACCTGGAACCCTGCCTCCCCACCCATCCGCAAGAACTCCAACTCCCCAGCCCTTCCAGGGGACCCAGGAGCCCTACAGTCCCCGGCCCCCCTTTGTGTAGCCCATGCGCATTGCTTCCTGGCTTCCTGGGAGTCCCGTGTTTCCCCCACCTCCACCTCTTCCCCCAAAGCCCCTGCCTCATTCACCCCTTCCAGGGACCCTGAAGCCTTCTCCAGGCGGGCTCTGTGTTCTCCCCAAACATCCCCTCTGTCACCCTCTCCAGTGATCAGACCTCCCCAGCACCTGACTTGGGGGCCTGTGAACCCACCTTTCTCTCCGTCTGTCCCTGGGGTCTGCAGTGGGACCACCAGGGAGACACCAGAGGTTGGAAGGAACAGGGGAAGAAGGGGCCTAACCCTACCTGGAGCCAGGGAAGAAGGTGATGTCTCCTTCTCACCCACTCCTGGACATCACCCTTGGAGAGGTCCCCTTGGCAACCTCCCATTTCTAGGTACGTGGACACCAGAGGGAAATATGTGGTCATCACAAGCTTGGAGACACACAGGCATAGAACACCACCAGCAACATCTGGGCACACAGGTGTTGGGCTCACGGATGGCCTCAGACACATGCTGCATGCTTGCTCAGTCGCTTCAGTCGTGTCTGCCTCTTTGTGACCCCATGGACTGTAGCCCGCCAGGCTCCTCTGTCCATGGGATTCTCCAGGCAAGAACACTGGAGTGGGCTGCCATGCCCTCCTCAGGCTCACACACAGGCACAGGCAAACACACACGGAGGGGAACATACTCACACACACTCACACACAGGAATACTGAGACAGTCCCATATGTGCACACACACACAGAAGCACACTGCACACATACACACACACATCCTCAGGCCCATAGGAAGCCTGGGCAGCCTGGGCACTCCCAGCAGAGGCTGTTGTGGGCAGACAGAGCAAACAGCCCCCAGAATGACCTGCCCCACCTAAGTTGGCATAGAGGGAGTGTTTGCCTTGGTTACAAACCCAGCGCTGGGCATCCACCCATGCTCGGGTTCTCCCTAAGGCTGAGCCATGGACCCTGAGATGCCAGAGTCGGGGTCGAGTCAGGGTAGGGGGACCTCTGGGGACAGCTTTGGGGTATGGGTTTGGAATTGGGGTCTTTTCAGATGTGCTTGTTATTTTTTTTAAAAGCTTTTTTTTTTTTTTGGCGAATTCTTAAGTCCCCAGCCAGGGAATCAAACCATGCCCCCTTCCCCCTGCAGTGAAAGCACAGAATCGTAACCACTGGACTGCTGGGAAGTCCCCAGATGTGCTTAGACTGGAAGTGTTCCATGGGGCTTGGTGGATCCAGGGGTCAAGGGACGTTTTTTGAAAGACCACTCATGCCAGGCACCTGGGGCCCCTAGGGCAGAGATCTGTCCAGGCTGGAGGGTCACCGCCATGAGCAGAGAGCGGCACAGGGTGACGAGGGCCCCTGTGGTCACATGGCAGGGAGGCAGATCACAGAAGGAGGTGATGAGTGAGCTAGGTGAGGGTGCGGTAAGGGCATTTGCTATACAGGGTGTATATGACTGTGTGATGGGAAGTTTAATTGGAGGAATAGGGTCCACGTGGGGTCCACGTTGAGAGAGGGCGCCGGAGGGGTGAGAGGGTGGGCTCCTGCGGAGCCTCTGGCTCAGTGAGGACCCCGAGCTTTACCTGGAGGGGGTTGGGAGCCTCGGGAGGTTGCAGGCAGAGATGTGGGCAGCTGGGAGCAGCACTGGGCAAGTCTTGTGAGGGTGAGGGCTGGTCATCCAGAGAGGAGGGCAAAGCTTTTAACTCTAAACCCGTTTTTACATTTTGTTTCTATTTAACTTAACTCTATTGCCCTTGATGAATATGCTCCTTTTTCTACTGAGAAAAAAACAAAATTGAGGGGATTCCCTGGCTATCCAGTGATTAAGAAGGACTCTGAATTTCCACTGCAGTGGGCCTGGTTCAATCCCTGGTCGGGAAACTAAGACCCCACAGGCTGTGCCTTGCAGCCAAACAAAACAAAACAACAACAACAAAAAAAAAACCAATCCACCAACAACATAAAAAATTGAATTTTAATTTTGACCTGGATTCTTCAAAGAAAAGTCAGCATGATACAATCTTGTTCTAGATTTTGAAAAGTGAAAGGGCGATGATTGAAGACACTGCAAATCTCTGGATTCTCAGTCCTGGAGCCGTGGGTGGAGAGTGAGCTCCCAGGGGTCAGGCCAGCATGGGAACAAGTTTCTGTTCAGCAGGTCACCCACGCTGGGACCTAGGATGGGTCCTTTTGCCTTTCCTAGCCTCAATCCCTCCATCTGTGAATGGGAGACTAGCAGCCCACAAGACAAGGAGATTGACAACAGGTGTTGCCTGTAGATTGGGGAGTGTGTGCCTCTGCCAGGTGAAGTTCAAGTGCAAGCTTCTCCGCGCTGTGGCTCTGATTGTGTGAGTGTGTTTCCTACTTGTTGACTGTGTGCAGCATGTGAGATCTTAGTTCCCTGACCAGTGATTGAACCCCTGCCCCTGCACTGGAAGCACAGTGTTTTAACCACTAGGCCTCCAGGGAAGTCCCTGATTGTAGTTTTTGGTCAAACACCAGAGTGGACTCTTGGACCTCACCAGAAGCAGGAGTGGCTCTGGGGTTCTCTGATGCCCAGTCGCAGTGGGTTTGACCACCCCTGACCACGAGCAGTGGACTCCTCAATGCCCCTTACCTCTGTCACCCCAGGCCTCCCTCTCCTGCTGCTATTGGGTGAGGAGGAACCACTGGATTGGGAGTCAGAAGTGCCCCCGCCCCCGCCCCGTGACTGTAGGGGTCGTACTTCCCAACTGAGCCTCCTCTTTCTCCCATGTGAGATGCAGGGGTTCCAGTTGCACCAATTGTGTCCTGCTATGGGCCACAGCAACAGGAGGATCCAGAGAAATGGCTGGGATGGGGTCACAGGGCCTCCCTGTGTGGCAGGAAGCTGTGCCTGGGCAGTGAAAATAAGAGGAGATGCAAAGAATCTGGAAGGCAGTGGTGAGGGGGTCGGGGAGGTCCCTGTAGAGGATGGCAGGGACCATGTTTGTTTCATCTCTGATGTCCAGTGCCCATGACAAGCATCTGGACAGACATTTAATGCACAACCCACAATCCAACTGTGTCTGAAGTTAACATGGGCAAAGGATTGGGAATGAGGGCATTCCAGGAAGAGGGGCCAGCCAGTGCAGGGCCTAGAGGTATGATTTCTTTTTCAGATGCCGTGGCTCTGTGACCTGTTTTCTCCTTCACGGCTGCCTTGAAGATATTGATAATAATAGTTAGAGCTCATTGTGTGCCTTTAATTTACACGCATGATCTCATTCCATTCTAGGGAGTAAGGTCTCCTTATTCCTCTGTTTTAAGATGAGGAAACCAAGGCACAGAGAAGTTGAGTGGTCCAAGGTCACACAGCTAGGAAGAAGGAGAAGCAGGATGCAGGCCTGAGATAGTCATCCAGAGGATGAGATGGTTGGATAGCCTCATCGACTCAATGGACATGAGTTTGAATGAGCTCTGGGAGGCAGTGAAGGACAGGGAAGCCTGGTGTGCTGCAGTCCATGGGGTCGCAAAGAGTCAGACACGACTGAGCGACTGAACAACAACATCTTCCAGACACTTTTCAGGCTAGTGCCCGTCCCCAGGCCAGGACAGCCCCCACCTGCAGCCTCTAACCTTTGTCTCCCTCCCCAACCCCCAGCTCCCCAGAGGTCACATGTGCACCGACGTGGGCTCTTAGGACTGGCTGGGGCTATTGACTGTGTTGGCCCTCGACCTGCCTTGGTCTACTTGAATTACGGCTGCTTTTGTGGTCTGGGGGGCCATGGCCAGCCCCAGGATGCCATTGACTGGTGAGTGCATGCTGGGGGCTTAAGATGCCCACCACCTGGGGTGGTTAGGGCCTATGAGGAAATACTCAAAGCTGAGGTTGGGGTTTAGATATGAAGCCCCCAGCAAATGGTGCTCTTTGCAGGCAAAGGGTCTCCCGGGAAACATGCCCATGCGGCCAGACCTTGGTGCCAGGTGCCCCCCAGTCTGGCTGTGAGATGATTACTTTAGCTGAAAAAAAATCATACATCCCTGACCAGACTTATTATGCACCAGAACTGTCCTGAGAGCCCCTTCGAGTTCTCACAACAACCCCATTTCAGAGATAAGGAAACTGAGGCCCAGAGAGATCAACTTGTCTTAGGGCCACATACAGAGTGAGGGCTGGGGGCTGGGATTTGAGCCCAGGCAGCCTGGCTGGATTCACACCCCTGATCACTGCCTTCTGCTGCTGGGTGAAAAGGGCCTGTTCTGTGCCAGACTGTGGGCTTAGACCTTGCCACGACCTCCTCTCATTTGCCACCACAGCCATGGCCATCCGATGGTGATCCCTATTTTACAGACCAGGTCCCAGAGCCACTCATCCACTTCCAGAGTGATTAGGGGGCAAAATGTTGATTGTCTCATCTGGATCTTGGAGGATGTAGTTGTCACTGACAGGTCTGTATCCAGCCTTGTGCCACCAAGACTCCTGCCGCGGGCCCTGCCCTTCCTCCCACACTCTGGTTGTCTGGTTCCTGCACATCTTTCCAGACATAGCCCACCAGGCATCACCCCCTCTTGGAAGTCTTCTCTGAAGCCTAGCTGGACCTGGCATCCCCTCTGGCTCCCAGAATCCCGTCACCTGCATCCTAGTGTTTCTCACCATGCCCACGGCATCTGGAGATTTGCCTGCCTCCCCCATCCTGGGGTTGGGGGCCGGTGCTTGGGCTGAGACCTCGAGCAGGAAGAGTGGGCGGGAAGTTCTCCCAGGCAGAGGCAGATTGGGGGCAAAATCAGGAGGTAGGGAGAGTATGGCTGGAAGGGACCAGCGTGGCTGGAGCTCAGGAGGCTCAGAGACTTAGGCAGGCAAGGGCCAGATTTGAGCATGGCAGAGAGGTGGAGGTAGAGCAAGACACACTGAGGTCAGTGGAATTGATTCCCAGGACAGGGATTCTCAGGGACAAAGCCTGGACCAGAAGATGCTGTCCCCTGTAGGTCCTCGATCTCCTGAAGTTATGGCACAGGAGGATGGCCAAGGGACCATCCTTGCCCTCTCTCACCCCTTGGTCTGTCCGTCTGCTATCCACAGGTGCTGTCACGCGCATGACTGCTGCTACACACATGCCGAGAACTACGGCTGCAATCCCAAGTTGCAGCCCTACTCCTGGAATTGTGTCAATCAGAGAGTCATGTGTGGTGAGTTCCCAGCATAACACCCAGCAGCAGCCATTGGCTGGAGCGTAGAGGGGCTTCGCACTGTAGGTGGGGCCATCTCTCCCATCTGCCCCAGTCTCCACCATGCCCTATTGTCTCTCCGACATTGAGGCCGAGGGTCAATTACCATAGTTCATTTCTCCTGTGCTGTTGATTTGGTTAAGGAAAAGGAATATTTCTGTCAAACCTAGGAAAACAGAAGGTAGGTCCAAAGGCTGAATGATCTGAGAAAAATGGGAGTGGTGAGCAAGCCCATTTATTTATCAGAATGAAGAGTACGCCTGGGTCTAATGGATCCCCTTTGTGTTAGTCCTGCCGGCCCCAGGGGATGTCTGAGTTTGCAGACCCTGGCCTGAGGCTGACAGCTTGGTCTGTAATTCAGATTCTGTGATGTCACCAAGCCCTGATCTCCTGGGGCCTCCGTTTCCTCACTGGTAAACTGGGGGCGGAAATCAAGTTGGCCTCTGGTGAGGATGAAATGACAGTATCATGGCATTTCATGCCTAATAGATGTCCTTAATGGTCTGTTGAAGAAATCACCCAACATAGAACCTCTGATGAGCAAGACCAGGCACAATTTCATGGAGCCCAGGATTTAGGGAAGGACATGAACACAGTTCTGAGTAACCCCAAACAACCCCACGAGAAAGTGATGTCCCTTTCAATTTTCTTTTAATCCTTCTAATTTTGTGAAATTAGGAGAAAGTCAGTTTTAATTTAGCTAAAACGTCTGTGGACCCTCCCTGATCCTTTTGAACAGAGAGAGTAGATTTCTGGCTTATAACGTTATTCAAAAACAGTTCTATTCTTAAATTTAATTCTGGCTTTAAAAAATCCTTCATATCTATCCATCTGTCATCTCTCTGTTACTTCTCTTTAACCACAAGCAGCATGTATTTAATGAGGATAATTCCTACATAACCTGATACCGCTGTACATTTTACATGGCTAGCTACCTGTAAAGCTGAAAGAAAAATAAACCTGTGGTTAAAAATATTTTGTCCCTCAGGGCAATCTTACTGGTTTTCAAAACAAACCAATAAGAAAAGGAATGAAGTACTTGTTTTTAGGATTATCTTCTGATGGATGGTGTTTTCTATTTACAGTTTTTGTTCACATGAATTTAAAAAGCCGAATCAAGGGAAGAAACAGGATGTGAATAACTGTACAGGCACGATGTAGATAAGGCTGGGACTTGGGCAGTGAGACTCCAAGTTATCTGAGGAGCTAGAAATGAAACGCACAGACAACGGGCTCCATAACTTTTTTTTTTCTTTTTACTCTTAACTGACAATAAGCATAACATAAAATTAACCATTTTAAAGTGTACATTTCAGTGATATGTAAAACATTCACAATGTCCTCCAACCATCACCTCTATCTATTTCCACAACATTTTCTTTTTAACTTATTTTTGGGTGCACAGGCTTCTCCTTGCAGTGTGTTTTCTTGTTGTGGAGCGGTGCTGTAGGCCACGTGGGCTCAGTAGTTGTTTTGACTCGGGCTTTGTTGCTCCATGGCATGTGGCATCTTCCTGGACCAGTAATGTGTCCCCTGCAACTGGCAGGCAGATTGTTAACCATTGGACCACCAGGGGTTCCCAAAACATTTTCATCAACATCCCTCCAAAATCACGTACCTTTTAAGTGCTCAGTTCCTGTTCCTCCTCTTTCCAGCATCTGGCAACCACCAATTTGCTTTCAATCTCTATGGATTTATGTATTCTAGATATTTCATATAAATGATGTCATACAATAAGCCTTTTGTGTCTGACTTCTTTCACTTAGCCTCATGTTTTCAAGGTTTATGTTGTAGCATGTATCTGAACTTCATTCCTTTTTATGACTGAATAATATTCTACTGTAGGTATATACTACATTTTGTTTATTCATTCATTCATTGTAGGACATTGTATTGTTTCTGAAACCATTTACCTCAGATTGGAACTTGAACCCACATGCTGGGACTTGAACCCAGCCAAAACCCAGTTTGGAACTTGAACCCACATGAAGTGAAGTGAAGTGAAAATTGCTCAGTTGTGTCCAACTCTCTGTGACCCCATGGACAGTCCATGGAATTCTCCAGGCCAGAGTACTAGAGTAGGTAGCCTTTCCCCTCCCCAGGGGATCGTCCCAACCCAGGGATCAAACCCAGGTCTCCCGCACTGCAGGTGGATTCTTTACCAGCTGAGCCACAAGGGAAGCCCAAGAATACTGGAGAGGGTAGCCTTATCCCTTCTCCAGGGGATCTTCCCGACCTAAGAATTGAACCAGGGTCTCCTGCATTGCAGGCAAATTCTTTACCAACTGAGCTCACATGGCTGGGACTCAAACCCAGCCCAAACCCATGGTACCTGGTTTCAGGACCTAATGAAGCTCAGGTTCTTGATGTCTCATCACAGAAAGAACTCAGTGAGAGACAGTGATAGGTGAGAAGTGGATGGATTCAGATTCAGAGAGAAGCACCCTCCACAGACAGAGTGTGGGCCATCTCAGAGGGTGAGTGTGGCCGCAAAGTGTGGTGTGGTTGGTTTTTATAGGCTGGGTAATTTCACATGCTAATGAGTGGGAGGATTATTCCAGCTATTTAGGAGAAGAGGTGGATATTTCCGGGATTTGGTCCACTGCCCTCTCCTTGGTCTTCTGACAGTGCCTTGGAACTCTCATGGCACCTCTGGGTGTGTCATTTCACTTGCTGATGGAGGATCAAGGTCTAGTCTTGTCTGCCATCTTGGTCCCATTTGATTCTAATCGGTTTATGTTGTGTCCTTGGGTTATGTCATTCTTTCAAAAGTTGTGTCCTGCCCCTTTTCCTCCTGTTACATTTCCACCTTTTAACTACTGGGAATAGTGCTGCTGTGGACATTTGTGAACAAATATTTGTTTGAATACCTGTCTTCATTTCTTTGGGGGCATATACATAGGAGTGAAATTTTTGCGTCACCTGGTAATTCCATTTTTTTTTGAGGAACCCTTCCCTGGTGGCTCAGATGGTAAAGAATCTGCCTGCAATGCAGGAGATCTGGGTTTGATCCTTTGGTCAGGAAGATCCACTGGAGAAGCGAATGGCTACCCACTCCAGTATTCTGGCCTGGATAATTCCATGGACAGAGGAGCCTGGTGTGCTATCGTCCATAGATAGGGTCGCAAAGATTCAGACATGACTGAGTGACTGACACTTTCACACCAATTTTTGCTATAGGTGCCGCACTGTTTTACATTCTCATTAGCAATGTATAGGGCATTTCTCCACAGCCTTGCCAACATTTGCTATTTTTCTTTTTTTATTTTTTATTTAGTGGAGATAATTCATGTATCTCATTGTGACTTTGATTTGCGTTTTTCTCATGACTAATGATGTTGAACATCTTTTCATGTGCTGGTTGGTCGTTTTTCCATCCTCTTTGGAGAAATGTCTATTCAAGTCTCCTGCTCATTGAGTAGTTTGTCCTATTGTTGTTGAATTGTGAGAGTTTCTTATTCTGGTTGCTGGACTCTATCATCTATGTGATTTGCAAAAGATTTCCTACCATTCTGTTGCCTTTTTATTTTCTTGATAATGTCTTTGGTATACAAAAGTTTTAATTTTGATAAAGCCTGACTTATTAGTTTTGTCTTTTTGATTTTGGGGCTGCACTGGGTCTCTGTTATGGCAANTGATTTGCAAAAGATTTCCTACCATTCTGTTGCCTTTTTATTTTCTTGATAATGTCTTTGGTATACAAAAGTTTTAATTTTGATAAAGCCTGACTTATTAGTTTTGTCTTTTTGATTTTGGGGCTGCACTGGGTCTGTTATGGCAAGTGGGCTTCTCCAGTTGTGGCGCGTGGTCTCTGGAATGCCCATGCTCAGGAGATGTGGTACTAGGGCTCCAGAGCACGTGGTCTCTCTAGGTGGGGTGTGCAGGCTTAGTTGCCCTGCGGCGTGTAGGATCTTAGTTCTCCAGTCAGGGATCACGCTCACCTCCCTGCTTTGGAAGGCAGATTCTTAACCACTGCACCATTAGGGAAGCCCCAATTTTGTCTTCTGTTGATTGCATTTCTGGTGTCCTATCTAAGAATTTGTTGCCAGATCCAAGGTCATGAAGATTTACCCCTGTATTCTTCAAACAGTGTTATAGTTTGAACTCTTTTATTTTTTTTAAATTTTATTGAAGTATTATTGATTTACAATGTTGTGTTAATTTCTGCTGAGCAGCGAAGTGACTCAGTTATATATTCTTTTTCACTGAACTCTTAACTTTAGGTCACTGATCTACTTTCAGTTGGTTTTTGTCTATGGTGGGTGGTAAGAGTCCACATTTATTCTTTGGCATATGGATATTCAGTTGTTCCAGCACCATTTGTTGAAGAGACTCTTTTGTCCCCGTTAAAACGTCTTAGTACTCTTGTTGAAAATCACTTCACCCTTAGATCAGTGTCATCTCTGAGCCTGTTTTCTTACCTGGAAGATGGATGTTGCAAAGATGAAAAAAAAAAGAGTTTATAATGTGATACCCTGACTGGGTGGAGGTTGCTACTTTCTTCCCGAGACTCTCCTCCACCCCTCATCCTTATCTGAACCTCTCTCTGATCCCCACTGCCTCCACCTGAGAGAACTGAGGGTCTGGTGTGATTCTTCACTGAAACCCCAGCTTCTGCAGACTTGATCTGCTCTAGAGGCAAGGAGACTTCACTTTCACTTTTCACTTTCATGCATTGGAGAAGGAAATGGCAACCCACTCCAGTGTTCTTGCCTGGAGAATCCCAGGGATGGGGGAGCCTGGCGGGCTGCCATCTCTGGGGTCACACAGAGTCGGACACGACTGAAGTGACTTAGCAGCAGCAGAGGCAAGGAGGCTATACTAAGGGTTACCTAGAAGGATATTCTTATTATGCACAGACTCTTAGCCATGTCTTCTTAGCCTACATTAAGAGTTGGCACAGAGCAAAGCTGAATTAATATGGAGACATTAATATGGAGTCCTTGATTCAGTCAATCAAG